GCCGAACCCTTAGCCAAGAGAGAGAGAGAGAGAGAGAGAGAGAGAGAGAGCTCCATAAACAAGGTTTTCTTACCTAAACAAATCAAGGGCAAAATCCAAAAGAGAGAAATTTAGGGTTTGTAAACAAACTCTCTTTGGTTCTAATGGTGAATCAAACCTTGAAGCCTCTACTTTGGTGGATTTCTTGGTGATTTGAGCACCTTGCAAGTAAGGTAAGTACTCTTTAAATTGGGGGTTTTATGTGTTAGATCATCTATTATAAGCTCTAATCATGAATTTCAAGTTGTTGTGGTTGGAATTGGAAGTTAACCCCTTGAATTAAACAAGTAGTGGATGAATTGTTATTATGCACACCAAGTGTTTGATGAAATGTCCAGCCCTTATTCATGTGTATTTATGAAGTATTAATATGTTTTAAAGCCCTATTTAGTTAGATTTAATACTTGATATGTGCAAAAGGTGAAAATAATGAGAAGAGTGAAAGTTGGAAAATTTCAAGTGTGCAGACCGAAATTTTAGGGGTTGCTATCCGGTTTTTCCCTTGATGTTTCATGCATATTTTGGCTACAAAAGTGAGTGATATATGTTGGGTTATGTGTGTGTAGGTTATCTACAAAAAATTAGCCAATTTGGTTGAGTAAATTTTGAGTTACAAGCAAAGGAACAAAACTGGACAAGGTCCAGAATTTTCTGTCTAGCAATCTTGTAAAGGCCATAACGTTTTACTCACTGATCGGAATTGCATACCGTTTGTGGCATTTGAAAGTAGACTCTTAGAGTTTTAAAACGGTACCAAGCCCATTTTGTTGTTCGCCTTGAGCGATCCGTGGCGAGTTGTGGAAGTTGGCTGCCTGGGCGGTACTGTTCATCCGTGGCAGTCCAGAAATTTCATTTGGTTTCTTAATTTGGAGCCACTTATGTTGGGATTTTGGAAATGGTTTCTTCTAGACAAATTTAGCCTTATAAACCTAGTTTCCAATGCAACTGATGAAACCTAATTCTGACTCTCCTACAACGAGCGGTGACCATTTTCCCGAGACTGGCCGGCCGACACTGTTCAAACCGAAAATGAAACCTTTCCTTACCAAGCAATCATATGAACACTAAACATGTATTTTCATGAACTTTTACTATACTTTGGACCTCATTTACATGAAGTATTAAGTAGCATACCTTAGTTACTTAGCTTCTTCATGAACCTATAATTTAGTGAGAAACGAATCTTATTGTTATCGTTTTCATTCGTTGCCCTAGGATCGGGAAACAGAGGTGACTGTAACTGAATCAATTGAAGTTGATAATGACTTTTGTTTGACAGGTGAGTGTTCCACGACCTGCTACTTGTTATGTGGGATACTTGTATATGTGAAAACCTTGATGTGCTATTGACTGAGCCAAACACTGTTTTAATTAAAGTTGGAGGCGAGTGTGTACTTTATAGCACTCGACCTTCCTTGATTTCCACTGAGGCTCTATATATTGTTACACTGTGATGTGAAATTTTATTTGTGACTATGAATGAGTTGTTAGGGTGATATCCCTTCAACTACTATTACTGTTTGGGTACCCAACCTCATAGGTGAGTCGGTTGTATCGAGCCAGAAAGGGTTTGGTCGAGAAGGCCGATAAACCTTGAGGACTGTTTATTGTTCACTGAAACCGGTATACTTGAGTATTACCAAACTACTGTTACGAAGTGCGGGCCCGGTAGAGGGTTGATTGGTGGACGGAGACTGGTGAAAGTGGTGTTCTACGGACCCTTTTATACTGTGCATACAAATGTTGACGGAGTGTCAACAGGAGGTAGTTATGATCAAGCTCAAGTGGATCTTTGGCTTTTGAAAGCCACCCGTATCCTTGAATCGAACTGTGATTAAACTGTTATCCTACTGTGTGATATTTATTTGATTATTTTTGTGCTCTTATTTGGCTATGTGCTTACTTGTTTTACTTGGAACCTCACTGAGCTTTAGCTTACCCCATTCCCTTTGTTTTCCTTAACAGATCGGGGATGGATTTGATCAAGAGATTTCTTAGCTTTATATTGTTTTGGACTGGTATGTGAGATTCTAACCTTTTGCTTAAGTAGACCTTACTTTTGACTCCTGTAAGCTTAAACCTCTAAGTTCGACTCATGTTATGTAAGTTTATGTGTGGAGTGGTAAGTTGACATTTGACTATATGTATACTAAGCTTTTGGATTGTTAGTGAAGTGATTATGTTTTATTTAGGGTTACGCTCCAAAGAATGGACGATATATCCTCTGCTTCATTTGAATTATTAGTACTTTGATCGACTGAGCCCCGGCGAGAGCTGGGCAGGCGGTCCGCCGAACCCTTTGGTTCGCCCTAGGGGGAGGTGGGGCTGTCACAAATGTTCTCCCATTTCCATTCAGGTATCTCAAGAGGTTGTAGTAATCCAGAAGGTTTTTGGTGTTCGGCCTTAACCTGCTGGCAGACTAGACAGGTTTGTACATATTGAGCAATCCCCTTCTTCATTTTATCCCACCAGTATAACCGTCGTAAATCCTGATACATTTTAGTACTACCCGGATGGATGGTGTATTTCGATTGATGGGTTTCATCCAGAATCTCTCTCCTCAAATTCTCATTCTCAGGCACTACAATGCGATTTCTAAATCTCAAAATTCCCTCAGGACTTAGAGTAAACTTAGGAATTTCTTCTTTCTTCACTTTTTCCACCCACTTCTGAACCATCGGATCTGTAGTTTGGGCCTCCTTGATTCTATCCAATAGGGCGGATGTCACCCGGATATTTCTAAATGTGATCTTCTTACCTTCCATTTTAGGGTTCCATTCACCAGTAGCTTCTAACATTTCCTACTCCTTAAGCATTAACCCAGATATTTGAGCCTTCCTGCTTAAGGCATCAGCTACTACGTTAGCCTTACCCGGATGGTAGTTGATCGTGCAATCATAATCTTCTAAGAATTCCATCCAACGACGTTGTCTCATATTCAACTCCTTTTGGGAAAAGAGGTACTTAAGGCTCTTGTGATCGAAATAAACTTCAAAGGTTACCCCATACAGGTAGTGTCTCCACTTTTTCAGAGCAAAGACAACGGCGGCTAACTCCAAATCATGAGTGGGATAGTTTTGCTCGTGGGTCTTCAATTTCCTAGAGACAAAGGCTATCATGTTCTTATTTTGCATCAATACACACCCTAAGCCTTCCTTCGAAGCATCAGTATACACAGTGAAACTATCCTCACTGTTAGGCAAGGCCAGAACAGGAGCCATAGTTAACCTTTTCTTCAACTCCTGAAAGCTCTGCTCACATCGGTCATCCCACAGAAACCAGTTACTTTTCTTTGTCAAATTGGTTAAAGGACTGGCAAGTTTTGAGAAATCCTTAATAAATTGCCGATAATAACCTGACAATCCTAAAAAACTTCGAATCTCAGTCGGACTCTCAGGTCTCTTCCACTCGGTTACTGCTTCCACCTTTGTCGGATCTACTGCAATCCCCTCATTCGAAATTACATGTCCCAAGAAGGAAACCTTCTCCAGCCAAAACTCACACTTACTAAATTTGGCGTATAATTGGTGATCCCTTAGGGTTTGTAAAACTAACTTCAAGTGCTGTACATGCTCCTCCCGGGTTTTCGAGTAGACCAAAATGTCATCGATAAACATAATGACAAATTGGTCCAGATAGGGTTTGAAAACTCGATGCATCAAGTCCATAAAAGCAGCAGGAGCATTGGTTAGTCCAAAGGGCATAACGACAAATTTGAAATGCCCATACCGAGAATTGAAGGCAGTTTTAGGCACATCTTCTTTTCGGATCAATAATTGGTAGTACCCCTGTCGAAGGTCCAGTTTTGAAAAGACCACTGCACCTTGCAACTGGTCAAATAGCTCATCAATGTGGGGTAGTGGGTACTTATTCTTAACGGTTATGTTGTTCAACCCTCGGTAATCAATACACAATCTCAAGGTCCTGTCCTTCTTTTTAACAAAGAGAACGGGTGCCCCCCCAAAGAGATCCACTCTCACGAATAAAACCCCACTCCAAAAGGTCTTGCAACTGCAACTTCAACTCCTTGAGTTTAGCAGGTGCCATTCGGTAGGGAGTCTTAGAGATAGGTGAAGTCCCTGGTAACAAGTTAATCTCAAATTCTATCTCTCTTTGCGGTGGTAGATTCACTAGCTCATCGGGAAACACGTCTGAATATTCGCCCACTACTGGAACATCTTCTATGTTTAACTTATCAGTGGGAGTGTTAATGAGAAAGGCTAAGAACCCTTGAGTCCCTTTACTCAATAGTTTCCTAGCCCGGATACCCGAAATCATAGCAGATGAGGCCAGACAACCCTTCACATCTAACCTCAAAGTTGCCTCCCCAGGGATACGAAATTCCACTACTTTCCTTTTATAGTCAAGTTAGGCATCATAGCTAGCTAATCAGTCCATGCCCAATATCACATCGTACCCCTTAATAGCCAAACTTATCAAATTCCCCAATAACTTCCTCTCTCCTACCCAGATTTTACAGTTTACATACATTTTGCTAGTAACCAAACACTGGTCTCCCATAGGCGTACTCACTTCTAATTCATAGGGCAGGTTTACAAGGGTTATACAATACCACACATGAATTCGGGATTAACAAAGGAATGGGTGGCACCCGGGTCTATTAAAATCCCAGCTAGACGATGGAAGACAGGAATCGTACCTTCCACTACCTCCAACGAATCAGGGACGTTGCTCGATAGAGTACACTCGGGCAGGCACCTTCGGTTTCGTCACTTCCACCTTTGATTGCGCTGAAGTTGCCTTAGAAGATCACAGGTCCCTCTCGCCTCTCGGGGTTGAACTGGACAGCTGGCTATCTGGTGCTCCGCACTCCCACAACGTAAGCACTTCTTCTCCTTTCTCCAGCAGTTATCCTCCATGTGGTTTGGCTTCTCACAGAACCCACATGGGCCACGAGAAATAGTGGCGGAGCTCCCTTGTGAGGCACTCCTCTGTTGGCCTCATCCCGTCTGGCCACCTCTTGGCGGAGTCCCTCTTGCTGTACCCGGAACTCGTCCTCCTCCAGCTCCACGGCCAAATTTGGGAAGGGTACTCTTATCCTCCTGCGTAGAACTACCTCCGAAAAACCCACGTTTCCTCACTTGAAAATTCCGAACTTGAAGCCTTGCGTTCTCGGCTCGCAGAGCCTTATCCACCACATCACTGAAAGTGTTAATCTGGGTCACAGCTAAATCCTTTTGGATTTCCACATTTAGCCCCTGAATGAAGCGTCGTACCCTTCTTTGTTCAGTCATAATAAGTTCAGGGGCAAACTTGGCTAATCGGGTAAACTGGCTTTCGTATTCAGCCACGGATTGGGTGCCCTGGCAGAGTCGGATGAACTCGTCCTCCTTCTTTTCTTGGATCAAGGGCGGAAAGTACTTGGCGTTAAATTCTCTTACAAAGTTCACCCACGTTCTGGGTGTCTGCTCTCTCTCCCACTTGGTTCGAATAACATTCCACCAAGAGCGAGCGGCCCCTTCTAATTGGAAGACCGCAAAAGTAACCTGTCTCTCTTTGGAGTAACGTAAGGCCGCAAAGATGTCCACCATCTTCTCCAACCATCTTTCAGCCACATCGGGGTCGGGCCCTCCAAGAAACTTAGGTGGGGAGAACTTTTGGAACCTTTCAAGAGCTCGATCCTCACTTTTTACGTGATTCCCAGGGTTTTCAGGATTCCCGACAGGTGGGTTAGGGTTGTGGCCCTGTTGTTGCACCACATGGTCCAGTAAGTCGGTCATTTGCTTCATAGCGATAGCTATCTAGACATTTGGATCTACCCTAGGTTCAGGGTTTGGTCCAGTCGAGGTTTCCGTAGTACCTCTATCAGAAGGTTGCCTACTTCCACATCCACGGCCTTGTCCACTACGAGTGCCCTCCATAATTCAAGTCAATCTAAAGGCGAGATACGTAATAACAATTAAAGAACCATACGGGCATAAGCTTGTAAACATAGGCAAATAATCAAAATAACACACAAGATATATATACACATAGAACATTTACACATACAACACATAACTGTTTCAGACAGTCATACAGAAGCAGTCAGTCAAGTACATACATATAAAAGTAATCCCATGAAACAAAAGAGTCCTCCAAAACACTATACAAAGTTAGGCCAAAACAACTAACTAAGCGCTTTCCTAACTATTCCCTTCATGGAATCAAACGTGGTTCAAAAGAGCTCTATCCTAGTTTCCTATGGAGGCCACAGACTCTCCCCCCTGGCTAGAACTAGGGGTACTCCCTTCGCCAGGTTTATCAGTACTAGGAGCCACTACTTGCGCATTGGCGCCAATCACACCTTGGATTAACACCTCGCACTCGTTAATAATTCCCCTGGAATGGTCTCTAACCTCCCAGACGACATTAGTAAGGCGGGTGTTCACCACCTGCAACTGTTCCCTCCAAGCATTCGATCGCTCCTGCTCCATAATTATGTCTCTTTGGAGCTCTCCAATCCGGTCAGCCTGCATCCTTAGGACGCCCCTCAATCTAAGCGCTCACAGTGTGATCCCTTGCGGCGGCACTCTTAAGTCTCCTCCGCTCGTCTAGCACCGCTAAGACCACATGGTCAGCATAAGAGTAATACTGGCAACGCCTGCAGTGGCGGGTCCGGCTGGCAGTGTACCAAAGCCAGATCGGACCTCCCGGCCTCTCCCGGTAATCAATAACTCATGGCCGCTTCTGAGGTGGCTCACCTCCACCCTGTCCACTCATACCAGCCATAACCGACAAAGACAACAAAAGGGTTCTTATCTTAGACAACGTAAGCATAATCACACCTAACAGTACCTTAACACTTCCCTCACAGGTCCTGAGGAACAAAATTTCAAACTTGCCTAGGTCACTTCAAACCCAGGCTCTGATACAACCTGTGACAGCCCCACCTTCCCCTAGGGCGTACCAAAGGGGTTAGCGGACTGCTTGCCCAACTCTCGCCAGGACTACTAAGACGGTCGTACATAATCTAACATGTTTCGAAAAATATTAGCGTGCTTAAGCGATTTAAAACCCGCAGAATGGGAAACGAAATTGAAATCGTAAATGAATAGTGACCGCCACGTCACTATCCAACAAGAATCCAATCAAATGTAGATGTCACCATACATCTCAGAGAAACATTTCCAAACCAAATAGGATACATGAACAGGGTTAATAGTGTTATACACATACGTTTGTAATTTACAAATCAAAAGGAAGATATTTAGATCAAAGTACATTTAGGGTTTTTCAACCATCGAGGAGCTTTACAAAAGAATATATTCAAACTATATGAAAACTAGCTCAACTCGTGCTTCTTCAAAACAATATAGTTCCCCAACAATTATTCATATCCCTGTAAGGAAAACAAAGTAACGAGTGTGAGCTTAACCTCGTGAGGTACCAACAAGATACACCAGTAAACACCTTTTTATGACATAATGATCCCAAAGCTCATAAACAAAACAAGTCAATAAAAGGATACAATTGGCTCTCAAGAGCCACTTTCCACTTGCTGCACTTGATCTCTGACCCGTTGACACTCCGTCAACCTTTGAAGAGAAGAACATCCCGTAGATCCCCACTTTACTCTGTAACCCTTCCACCGATCACCCCCTTACCAGGCCCGAACACCTCACAGTAACAGAGAGGGTAATACTCGAGTATACCATAAGGTCGAGGAGTTAACACTCCACTCGACTGCAGTGAACCCAAGGTCCCTTATCGATTCGCCCAAGCCCTTGCCGGCTCGATTCGATTAAAGACCAATGGGGTATGAGCTCAGATAGCACAGTTAAGTTATTGGGCAAAGCCCTCAGCCATGTCAAATCACACATGTAGACAATTTCACATTTGACAGTAACAGTAATACAGATAAGAGATCAAGAGCGATAAAGTATACTCCCATCTCATTCAAGCCATTTAAGTTCACATAACAAGTATACACAATCATTTAAGCATTAGACCATATAATGGTATACTCACCAAGGTAAGTAAGCAAATTCACAAGTTAGCTTCAGGCGTAGGCGTCGGATCACGGGCACGACCTATACAACAAGAATATCCCAATTAAGACTCGAATACGAGTCAAAGAAAATACACACACTACCACAATTAAGGCCCAATAGAATGTATAAGTGCGTAACCAAGCTAGGGACATGTGCGGAAATGAAATTTAAGTTGAAAAGCAAAAGGCAGTTTTGATGTTACTTAGCGGAACGGCCACAACTGGAGCTATACTTATCAGTTTTGGGTGCAAGTTACATCGTTTCAAAGCTAAGAGAAAGGGCTACAATGTTGAAGAAGGCCACTCAGTCCAGTTTGCAATGTATCTAGGTCAAATTTACCAAAACAAACCCAGATTTTCCAGTTTGCAGCTTACTGTGAAATTCAACGAGCAGTCTTGATTCATTCAATCATATCTCAGCACATACGACTCCAATTCAAGTGATTCCAAAGCCATATGAAAGCTAAGATACCAGGCTATAATTCTTATGAAGACATCGACAACCAAATCAGTAGTATTCCTGGTCAAACTAGCCAATTACAGAAGCTGATTATCAGGTTCGGACAGAAACAGGGCAGCAGGGGTATTTCAGTCTTTTCACAGGCTACGTTGCTCTGATTGAGCTGAAATTTTGTAGGAACTATAAAACATCATTCTCTACAACTTTCATGTTTTAACCTAAGGCTAATTCGGCCTCTAACATGCTCAAATAAATTCGGACAGAACGGGCCTGTTTGGAACCCTAATCTGGAATTTTAGTTTCAAACCAATAAATTTTCACAACCAATCATTTCCAACACATACCAACTCCATCTTACTCTATAACAAACCATTAATCCATGACTAAACAATAATTTATATATTAAAACAGAAAATCCTCAATAAATTGGAAAATTTGCACATCTCAACCATAAGTCATGAAATAATCCATAAAATGACATTCTTCACCACTAGAATCTCTTAATTGATCATTATAACCATGAAAGGGACAATATTTTATCAACTCACCTTAGCAACTCCAAGAACAAGATAACTAGTAGTTCTTCTTCACAAATGGCTCCACCAAAGGCCTTAACTTCACTTAACTATTCACTTGTGTGGAGAAATTTAGGAGATTAATGGTTGGATTCCAAGATTCAAGTAAGAAAGGAAAGAAAATTGAAGAAGGTTTCTCTCTTCTTTGTCTTCAAGGTGCATGGCCAAAGGGGAAGGAAATGAGGGGTTATTTGAGTCAAAATTGATTATTAGGAAAGGTAAAGAAAATGGTCAAAAGTCCAACTTCCATTCATGGCATGACACCTAGCACCTTTGGTGCTTATCACTTCCTTGTCTTGCAATACCTAATTAAACTGGCTAACCTCTAATTAGTTTATAACACCATATCATATACTCCCCGTATATCCAAAATCCTCCACAGTAATCACATTTACCACACTTATCGCACTAGTGGGTCCCACATCAACTGTACACCACCATTAACACAGAAAATAACCTATATGGAAAAAAAATGTAAAAGTCATACGTCCTCATAAAAATTCCTAGAATTTTCATATAAGAAAGAAAATATGGAAATTATACGCAAAAGACTAATATAAATGCCTAGAAAATAAGAAAATTTCGGGCTCTCACACATTGGACATCCATCCAATAAACAATGCAGCACTTCGGATGCAAAGCATTAGAGATACCGGACGTCCGAAAGAACTAAAGAAGATTTTTCAAATTCATCATCCGCTTTCAGACGCAAGCATCAGAGATACCGGACATCCAAAAGCATTAAAGAAGATTCCTCAAGCTCACTGCCTGCTATCAGATACGAGCATCGGAAGTACCAGACGCCAATATTCCCAACAGCTAGTTGACTCTTCAGTTGCCTTCTATCCGTTGGAAGCATTAATGGGACACTTTTTGATCTCATATAAATAATGCATGGTCAACTACTTTCAAAGAACTTTTGCACATTGCGAATACGAAAGATCAAGAGTAGTTGTGTACTCTATAAAGAAGATTTGTACTCTTAGTTGTGTGAATTTCTTGTAAGATTTTCTTGTATGAGAAAAATACTTCAATAGTGTAGATTTGTGAGGGTTATCCGGAGTGATAATAAAACTTCTTAACTTGACCAAGTGTAGCTTGGGGTAAGAAGGAAGTGTTCCTTCCTTTGTACACAAAGATTGGTTGTATTTCATCAAATTGAAGAGGCTTGTTCTATAAAGTGATATTCAAACTCAAGAGGAGCTTGGTAGTCAAATTGGTTTGCTATTCTTTTCTTATTACTTACTATCTTGTGAATCTTAATTGCTTATCTCTTCTACTCTCAAGCATTCTTACTTTCTTACTAATTAATTCATTGAGTGGTCACCTAGAAAAGAGGGTAAATTTCATATTGAACAAAAAAGTGTCTCATAACCTGATTAGATTTTAAAATAACCTAGTTCACCCCCTCTTAGATTGTCTTCGATCCTTACATACATGTGTTTGATATTTTGTTTAAGCTTTGTTTGTGACTTTTCTTGATGTAGTAACATGTTTTGGATCCTTTTAAAGTTAGGGATAACTCTTGGAATGTTATTTGAGTTAGCTATAATGAAAGGATGGAAGTTGGAGTTGAATGTGAACTTATGGACTGTTTTGGTTCTCTTGGCTGACCGGCCTTGGAATGAAGGTTTCTCCTTGATTTTTGTGGGTCTTTGTACCTTAATTAAGCCTAAGGAACTTGGCTAAACATTGGTTTAAACTTAGGTATGAGTTGAAAAG